AGTGAATGGTTGTTTGTCTCGTTTGTCTCTATGTGGCCCTGTGATGGACTTGCGACCCATCCAGGGTGTACCCCGCCCCTCGCACAGTGATTGCTGGACATGGGCACCGGCGACCCCCGTGACCCAAAATGGAATAAACGGGTAAAGAAAATGGATGGATGGATGAATTTAAAATAAAAATTCCGTGCCGATCATGCGACTCATCCATCAATCGGCCATTATGTGTAGTGTCCAATCTTATTTTGAAAAACCGCAATAGAGCGAGTCCGCGATAAATGAACCACCAAGTAGCCTGGGACTTCTGTATTACTCTATTACATTTACAATATTACATAAAAAAAAAAAAATATATATATATATATATATATACTGATTATTTATAACCTTTGCAAAGAACCTCACTTCATACGATTATATTATACTATCCCTTCAATGGCGTTAATAAAAAAAAATAAAGAAAAGAGGGAAGGAAACATAACTCATTGTTTTAATATGTATAGTATGAGAATGATCACTTTTGTCTATAAGCAATTTTAAAAAATCTAAAAAAAAATTAATATATACTTTAGACAGGTGTGTTCAGAATGCAGTGACTGATCTTGCTTGACAAGGCTTTAATAATTTTCCCACAAAATGTAGCTAACATGTCCATTTATATTAAAGCATCAAGCTTTACAACGTATTTTAAACTTCAGTCAGCTGAGGATAAAATGTAGATAGAATGCCCCTCATGGCAGATTCCTTTAAAAATGTCCAAAAATACAAACAGACAAAGTGAAAACTTCACCATTCGGATGATAATTGAAATAGTTACGTTGTACTACAAAAAAATTGTCACAACAACAATGATTTATTACTGAAGAGATTAAAGAAGCTTGACTGAGCCACTGAAAACCTATTTTTGATTTTCCCTTAGACTTGTTGGGAAAATAAAGACGAAGAGAGAGTTTCACTGACCTTCTTGAACAGACGGATGACATCCTCACTGATCTGAGCCAAGCGGACGATAACGTTGTTGGTGTAGATGTCGCTGAGCGTGGCGTGGTCTCGACTCTCACGTCTCGTCTGGTTCAGCAGCAGATACCAGCAGTTTACTGAGGACAGCAGGTGCTGGTCTTTCCTGAAATAGAAAACAGGAACACTGTTAAAATATCACCTCATAGAACAGATAACAATTAAAAAATCCCCTTGTGAACTTATTTTAATCAATATTTTATGTTTGTAGAAGGTGTTTTAAAAGATTCTGCCATTTTAATACATATATCTTAATGTTGGTGGTTACATCCTACTCACAGACATGACACCATTTCTGATGGTGGCATGGATACTCTGGCCAAAACTAAGAAAGATAAAAGGCTTTCATACTTAGGCAGAGTGAAGAGATGAACCAAACACACAATATCTTTACAGGTACATGGAATAAAAAAATGCAGGAAATCAGATCACTTGATTGTGTTAAATATTTGTAGGCATTTTTTTTATTTTTCTGACATTTCTTGATCAGACTTGTGTTTCTGGAGGTAAGCAGTCTGATTAAAAAAACATTAAAAGTAAATGTCAGGCCATAAAATCACATAACTTTCTCACCATCAGTTCCTTTCTCAATGCAAGCAATGCAATGGCTTGTGGGAAATAGATTCTTAATGCTGATGGTGATCATAATAACTCAGTCGTCTTTGGAGCTTTCAAAAAGAAACACACAACCATACAGTGTTTATGTACATAATGATGAAGACTTCTACACAAGTGCAACTATTTTAAACTGCTGGACACTACCTGGGTTTTAATGAACCACACAGCTGAGCCAGCCTGTGTGTGGACAGACAGAGAGGAAGGGAACCAGAGCCAACCAGTGGACGGGGTACAGGGGTGAAGAAGAGGAAAGAAAAGCAGCAGCAATATAAAATAAATCCTCTTCAGGGAGCTTCCACTATTATGTTTAATGATGCTGATATGTACCGTGTAGCTGCACCAGAGAGTTTTTGTTATGGTTCCACGACGAACACATCTATAACAAGCTGGAATCTCTCTCTTTCAAACAGGAAGTCGGTCCCAGCAGAACTTCCCTCGATTTTATCCTCGAATGGTGCTCCTACTGAGTTTGTTGATTCCTACAAATATATTGGTTGATTCACATCTCACTTTTAAGCTCCACATGGAAAACCTAGTAAGGGAACTGAAAGTTAAACTGGGTTTCTTTGTCAGAAATAGATCCTGTCTAACTCTGAACACTAGGAAACAACTTGTATCTGTGACTTTCCTTCCCTCCATTGATTACGGTGACATTATTTATATGAACGCTCCTACAAGCACCCTGCAGATGCTGGATGCTGTCTATCATGGTGCACTAAGATTCATAACTGGCTGTGATTATCGTACCCACCACTGCACCCTGTATTCACTGGTTAACTGGTCATCATTAACTTCACGCAGACTCTCTCACTGGTACATTTTCTTCTTTAAATCACTTCTTGGTCTGCTGCCTTCATACATCTCCTCCTACATGTCTCTGCATGAGTGCAGCTACAGCGTGCGCTCTCAGGACATTATTACCTGCAGTGTTCCCTCAGTGTGGACTGAACTAGGCAAAAGAGCTTTCTACTCCGCTCCTGTTTCCTGGAATATCTTGCAAAAAGATCTGAAGCTCTCGACCTTGACCTCTCTAAGTGGCTTTAAGAATCTGTTGGACTCCTGGCAGTGACCAATGCAGACATGTTCCTGTTTATAGTATTCTACATTGCTTTACAACCTAGCTGTTTTTGTTTTAGATGTTTGTTTTTTAACATAATTTTCTTCATGACAGGATTGTCTACTGTTTTCATCATTCTTTGTTAAAATCAGGTCTCTCTTGTAAATGAGTCCTCGAGGCTCAATGAGACTAACCTGTATAAATAAAGGCTGAGTTGAAAAGAAAGGAGGCAAAAACAGCACATCATCCCCAAAGCATCACTTTAAAGCAAAAGCAAGCATTTCAAGTAAACTTTGTCAGATCATTTATTCAGAGGCATATCAAAGACGCCACCAGTTGCTTCTGTGAATTGACGATGCAGAACAAAGACACTAAGCGGTATGGATCGATCAGGATTTATACAACAGAACTTGTATTTAACACCACCAGCCAGATCAAGAAAGCTCATCAGAGACCCTACTTCATCAGGTGGCTGAGACGAGCTGGTCTGGGTAGCTCAGTCCTCACCTCCTTCTACAGGTGTGAAGTGGAGAGCATCCTGTGCTCCAGCATCAACGTGTGGCATGGAGGCTGCACAGCTGCAGAAAGAAACGCTTTGCAGAGAGTGGTGAAGGCTGCACAGAAGATGTTGGAGTCAGCCTCACCACCATCACAGACATTTACACCTCTAGATGCAGGAAGAGGGCCACCAGCATCATGAAGGACCCCACTCACCCAGCACACACGCTTTTTGCCCCGCTCCCCTCCTGAAGGGGGTTGAGGAGCATTAAGTGTAGAACCACTAAACTGAGGAACAGCTTCTACCCTGAAGGTTTTAAGACTCATAAATCCCTAACCAGAATAACCTTTGTAATGCCACTTTAATTGGTGATATGTGACTTTATCCATGCTGCTGATTATCCATGCAGCTGATTATCCATGCTGCTGATCATCCATTCTGATGATTTCTTGCCTTTAAACTGTTGTAATCATACCCATCTGCTCACAAGACTCATGTTCAGGCTGCTGTTTAATACACCGTATTATATTATATTATTATTGTTTAGGGTATATCTTAGATCCATATATACTGTTTCTTTTTATACTTTATATTTTTGCTATTTTTTGGGTGTAACGGACCTTGAGTACCCAATTTTCATTCCAGCTCATGTACCACATGTGATGCGAATGACACCAAAGACCCTTGAACCTTGGTATTTTAGACCTAATGAAGACAAACTACAACATTCCTCTGTAGTCTTACCATCCATCATTGAGCACCAATTCTGGTCTGCCTTTAAGGAATACAGCCAGAGTGTCTCTATACTGTTTATTGTTGAGGGGTTCAGGGAATCAGCACCTCTTTTCTCTGCAGGTCTAAATGTGATCACAAATGCTTCATCTCATCCCAAAGCCCAACCAGACTCACACTCTCCTGTCTCCTTACGTTAGCATCCTCTGCTCTCTCTTCAAGCGCTGCACACTTCCTACAAATAAATCTTTGGTCCTCCTCAGATTATTTAAAGTGCACATAAACCTGAGTCCCCAGCTGTAATGCTCAATCCACTTTTCCTGCAGATTAATAGGGATTTTATTTGACTTGAGCATCAGTCAGGCCACACGGAATTTATTAGAAAGACTTTTGCAGTTTTACATTTCTTGAAAAGGCCCCATTGCAACTTAAGTCCGGGTGCTATCCATTTTTATTAAATATGATTAAGTCTTCCTAAAACTACCCCATGTTACACAGTGTTACCCTCTACCAAGAAGGTTTGTAATGTTGTCATAAACTGCTTGTATTTTTAGGAGATTTTAAAAGATTTTATTAGGTGTGGGAAATTGTAATGTATTGCAGATGCTTGAAAAGGTCTAAATCAATTTTCTAACGTCAAAAATCTAATTCGTTGACATTATTCTGTGCTGCCGCTTTAAGAGAGTCAGCCAAGTTGTTGTTGCACGTCGTCGTTTTTATAGCAAACTTGTCATAACTTCCTGTAATGCAGACGTGTTGCTGAGTTTTTGTCTTTTTTTGACCAGAGTCTTAACTGGAGTTACTGGGAGAGATCATATATCTCCAGTTTTAGCTTCTCTCCGTTAGCTTCCTGTCAAGTCCAGAATTGAATGCCAAATCTTACTTCTAACCTACAAAGTCCTCAACAACCTAGCTCCATCTTATATGACAGATCTTATTGTTCCATATTTTCCTAACAGAGCACTTCACTCTCAGACTGCAGGCTTACTTGTGGTTCCTAGAGTTTCCAAAAGCAGAATGGGAGTAAGATCTTTCAGTTATCAGGCTCCTCTCTTGTGGAACCAACTTCCAGTTTCTGTCCATGAGGCTGACACATTGTCCAGTTTTTGAAGACTGGGCTTAAGACTTTCCTTTTTGATACATCCTATAGTTAGGGTTGGCTTGTTGTGCTACCTTAAGCTTAAACTACTAGAGGACAAATTGACCTAATTCCCTTAAATTATTTGCTAAAATTGAATAGTTTTCATTTGACACTATTTCTATCTTAACATGTGATTCTTGACCTGCCATTGTGTATCTGTTCCTCTCAAACCCAGCTGGTCAAAGCAGATGGCCGCTTGTCCTGAGCCTGGTTCTGCTAAAGGTTTCTTCCTCATGAGGGAGTTTTTTCCTTTCCACTGTCACCTTCATGCTTGCTTAAGATGGGAGTCTGTGATTGAGTTAAATTCTAAGCAGTCTGCTCCTCAGATAAATAGTGTTAAATTATTGTTTTTATATATGAATGTTTCTTTTCAGTGCCCTGAGATGACTTCTGTTGTGACTTGGCGTTACATAAATAAATTGATTGAAATTAATTAAATTGAATTAAACCAAACCCTGAAGGATATACTGTGTCTTTAAATGATAAAGTTATCATTACATGACTGTCTGTAGTAATGACTTTGAAATGTTTGATCAGTGCATAAATTTTCTGTATAAATTTCCTAATTGTGTTTGCTTTTCTATGTCGTTTTCAATGTGAAATTATAATTCATGCTAATTGTTGATCAGCAATTTGTGATTAATACTGTTTTTGGGCTTATGTATCTGTCGACTCTTGATTATGCAAAATAAAAAAATAAAAATCCAGGATCATTTAAGTAAAACAAGCCACTTGGGTTTGTAAATTTCCAAATAACCACCTCGTATTTATTCACAAACATATTTTTTTTTTCATTCAACCTTTTTTTATATAGTTTAGTCTCATTGAGTTGCAAGGACTCATTTTCAAGGGAAACCTGTTTAATGTTTAATAATGACTTCAGATATTGAAAATCCATCAATATTAATTTTATAGTCACGTTGCTGACCTCTGAATTGCAACCAAGTCGTATCATGAAGTACCTAAAGATTCCCACTTTTTGTTGTATTGTTTTAAACTTGGTTTCTTCGACCAAATATGCAACAAACAGGTTTTCATTTTTATTGCTTTCACTTTATA